GGCGCAACCAGGAAGCCCCCGTAGGTTCACATGGTTTTTACCGCGCAAGTAGCTGGGTCATGTTGCTCAGGTCCCTAGGTTCTCCAGCAGAGAGGTTAGAATAAGGGTACCCGATTTCTTTTTGTCGGTTTTAGGGGAACCCTCCCAACCAAAAAAGAAACAGTGACGGGCACCTAATTCAAAATGGCTCGTTGGTTCACGGTGCCGCGGGTGAACTATAATATTTCACCAACCTGAAACTTGCGGTGGTTGGGGCGCCATTCCCCACATCAACCACCATTTGGGGTGAATTCGGTCGTGTGAGGTCCTTATAAAACACCCAGAGATCAGTAGGGGAAGCCTCCCCAAAAAAAGGGTAGAAGGGCACTACTGGGGGACCTAGTCTAAAATGGTCCGTTGGTTCACAGTGCCACGGCAATGAGCGCAACCCGCCTCAATCGAGAACAGCTTCTCCCAAACCAGGTGCCTCTCGCGAGCCAGGGCGCCGTCCTCAGCACCGACGCGCACCCCGCAAGCACAAGAATCTAGGGGGTTGATTCCTTCCAACCATTCTTTTCAACCATCGTTCTTTTCACAAACCGAATCGCTGTTTCCCCCTGGGATTCTGATGGTTTTCTGAAAAGAAGGATCCCTGGAAAGAATGGGGAAGTGTTCTGATGCCGCCTTAAAATTTGGTTCTTGCCCAAAACATGTGCTGGGTCCTCCAGATTTGAGAGGTTGGAATAAGTTGGTACCCGATGTTTTTTTCGGGACGTCTATTTTAGTAGGGTCCCGAACCCTCCCAACCAAAAAAGAAACGGTAAAAGGGCACCTAGCTGGGACCTAGTTTGTCCCCTTTTCATGGGTAGTTCTTTCGGGTCCAGAAAAGGCAAAATTGACCATGGCTTCTGCTCTCAACACTTCCTCGCAGCCTTCTTGCACGCGCTGGCACCTAAGCCTCCAACCCGCAGGATCTTTCGATTGCACAGGGTCGCTCGCTGCTCATCGAGCTCTTTCTTTTAAAGAGGGGGGGGGTATGATGGACACTTTGGGTCTATTTTCCAACCTGCTTCTTTTAGGGTGTTGGTTTTCTGGGGTTCTTGGCTGCCACATACACCCTAAGTGTCCATGGCAGGGGGATGGCGGGCCAAAGTGCGGAGTTGGCGGGCGAACTGCCAACTCCGACTGACGTCAAGCCTCCAAGGTTGACCTCAAGATCTGTCAAGTCCAGGTGGCGTGGCTAAGCAGTCCTCACCTCTGAACTGTGTCCCTGCTGACCGGGAGCTTCAAATGGGCGTGCCCCCAAATTAAAGAGCTAGGAAAAGCCGCCGGGTTTCATTCAGTCTTTGGTTCCATTTACCAAGGTATACCAAGTTGCCAACCTTGCGCAGGACTTTTCGTGAGCCACTGCCACATGTTCTTCCTCTCGCGCCCTGGCATTGACCGCGCGCCGTTCTTTCGCCTTAAATGGCCCATCCTTCTTGCCATGGGGCAAGGGTGCAGGTCTAGCCTTACGCTCTGGGCCGAGGTAGTGTTCCTGTCTTTTTGACCACACCCCAAGCGCCTTTCTGGGTATTCCAGCTTGGATATGCAGGCTCTCAGGGAAAACAGTTGGAATCCCCCCGAACTTAACCATCCAGGTGGTTTCCCTTCACAGGGTCCCAAAACGGTGGAATTCCCCAAAACCAAAGAGGTGATCCCCAAGAGGGAACCCTGCATATAAGGCTATTCAAGAAAAGTCAGGGCGAACACCCTTTACACAGTGGTTACTTTAGTTGTCCTTTACTCCATGAATCCCTCCTGAGTGGATTGGCCAGACAAAAAATATATATAAACTGTTTACTTACCATTAAAGATCCAAAACCAATTAAAGGACCGGATAACCCCACATGCTATGTTTTTCGCAAGGATGTGAGTTCAAATGTCCACACACATGTACCGTGCGCCCCTTGTATGGATGCGATTACAGAGCACCCAGATGCACAGAATGCAGCGCCTGCCACGACTTCGGCAACGGCATCGCCAAAGTGCTGCGCCTGCCACGATTTCGCAACGGCATCGCCAAAGTGCTGCGCCTGCCACGATTTCGCACGCCCCCCGCCGCGCGCGCGACAACATCCTGTCCCTCTAGACAGCTGCCGAATGCGACCCCTGCCACACAAACACACACCCAGATGCACAGAATGCTGCGCCTGCCACGACTTCGGCAACGGCATCGCCAAAGTGCTGCGCCTGCCACGATTTCGCAACGGCATCGCCAAAGTGCTGCGCCTGCCACGATTTCGCACGCCCCCCGCCGCGCGCGCGACAACATCCTGTCCCTCTAGACAGCTGCCGAATGCGACCCCTGCCACACAAACACACACCCAGATGCACAGAATGCTGCGCCTGCCACGACTTCGGCAACGGCATCGCCAAAGTGCTGCGCCTGCCACGATTTCGCAACGGCATCGCCAAAGTGCTGCGCCTGCCACGATTTCGCACACCCCCCGCCGCGCGCGCGACAACATCCTGTCCCTCTAGACAGCTGCCGAATGCGACCCCTGCCACACAAACACACACCCAGATGCACAGAATGCTGCGCCTGCCACGACTTCGGCAACGGCATCCGCAAAGTGCTGCGCCTGCCACGATTTCGCAACGGCATCGCCAAAGTGCTGCGCCTGCCACGATTTCGCACACCCCCCGCCGCGCGCGCGACAACATCCTGTCCCTCTAGACAGCTGCCGAATGCGACCCCTGCCACACAAACACACACCCAGATGCACAGAATGCTGCGCCTGCCACGACTTCGGCAACGGCATCGCCAAAGTGCTGCGCCTGCCACGATTTCGCAACGGCATCGCCAAAGTGCTGCGCCTGCCACGATTTCGCACGCCCCCCGCCGCGCGCGCGACAACATCCTGTCCCTCTAGACAGCTGCCGAATGCGACCCCTGCCACACAAACACACACCCAGATGCACAGAATGCTGCGCCTGCCACGACTTCGGCAACGGCATCGCCAAAGTGCTGCGCCTGCCACGATTTCGCAACGGCATCGCCAAAGTGCTGCGCCTGCCACGATTTCGCACACCCCCCGCCGCGCGCGCGACAACATCCTGTCCCTCTAGACAGCTGCCGAATGCGACCCCTGCCACACAAACACACACCCAGATGCACAGAATGCTGCGCCTGCCACGACTTCGGCAACGGCATCGCCAAAGTGCTGCGCCTGCCACGATTTCGCAACGGCATCGCCAAAGTGCTGCGCCTGCCACGATTTCGCACGCCCCCCGCCGCGCGCGCGACAACATCCTGTCCCTCTAGACAGCTGCCGAATGCGACCCCTGCCACACAAACACACACCCAGATGCACAGAATGCTGCGCCTGCCACGACTTCGGCAACGGCATCGCCAAAGTGCTGCGCCTGCCACGATTTCGCAACGGCATCGCCAAAGTGCTGCGCCTGCCACGATTTCGCACGCCCCCCGCCGCGCGCGCGACAACATCCTGTCCCTCTAGACAGCTGCCGAATGCGACCCCTGCCACACAAACACACACCCAGATGCACAGAATGCTGCGCCTGCCACGACTTCGGCAACGGCATCGCCAAAGTGCTGCGCCTGCCACGATTTCGCAACGGCATCGCCAAAGTGCTGCGCCTGCCACGATTTCGCACGCCCCCCGCCGCGCGCGCGACAACATCCTGTCCCTCTAGACAGCTGCCGAATGCGACCCCTGCCACACAAACACACACCCAGATGCACAGAATGCTGCCTGCCACGATTTCGCACGCCCCCCGCCGCGCGCGCGACAACATCCTGTCCCTCTAGACAGCTGCCGAATGCGACCCCTGCCACACAAACACACACCCAGATGCACAGAATGCTGCGCCTGCCACGACTTCGGCAACGGCATCGCCAAAGTGCTGCGCCTGCCACGATTTCGCAACGGCATCGCCAAAGTGCTGCGCCTGCCACGATTTCGCACGCCCCCCGCCGCGCGCGCGACAACATCCTGTCCCTCTAGACAGCTGCCGAATGCGACCCCTGCCACACAAACACACACCCAGATGCACAGAATGCTGCGCCTGCCACGACTTCGGCAACGGCATCGCCAAAGTGCTGCGCCTGCCACGATTTCGCAACGGCATCGCCAAAGTGCTGCGCCTGCCACGATTTCGCACGCCCCCCGCCGCGCGCGCGACAACATCCTGTCCCTCTAGACAGCTGCCGAATGCGACCCCTGCCACACAAACACACACCCAGATGCACAGAATGCTGCGCCTGCCACGACTTCGGCAACGGCATCGCCAAAGTGCTGCGCCTGCCACGATTTCGCAACGGCATCGCCAAAGTGCTGCGCCTGCCACGATTTCGCACGCCCCCCGCCGCGCGCGCGACAACATCCTGTCCCTCTAGACAGCTGCCGAATGCGACCCCTGCCACACAAACACACACCCAGATGCACAGAATGCTGCGCCTGCCACGACTTCGGCAACGGCATCGCCAAAGTGCTGCGCCTGCCACGATTTCGCAACGGCATCGCCAAAGTGCTGCGCCTGCCACGATTTCGCACGCCCCCCGCCGCGCGCGCGACAACATCCTGTCCCTCTAGACAGCTGCCGTGAGTCAGCGAGTGTGAGTGAGTGAGTGAGCGAGCGTGAGTGAGTGAGTGAGTGAATGAGAGTGAGTGAATGAGAGTGAGTGTGAGTGAGTGAGTGTGAGTGAGCGTGAGTGAGTGAGTGAGTGAGTGTGAGTGAGTGTGAGTGAGTGAGTGTGAGTGAGTGAGTGTGAGTGAGTGAGTGAGTGAGTGAGTGAGTGAGTGTGAGTGAGTGTGAGTGACTGAGTGTGAGTGTGAGTGTGTGAGTGAGTGAGTGAGTGTAAGTGAGTGAGTGAGTGAGTGAGTGAGTGAGTGAGTGAGACGGAGACGAGCGGGAGAAGGAGGAGGAGACGCGGCGCGCGGACGACGAGCGGAAAAAGTAAGAACCCCACACAAAGATGTGGGGAAAAAGCTTCAAAAGTCCAGTATCTCAGGTTTCGGAGTGACCATCGAACACTACCCCTCGGCCCAAAGCTCTGCCCTACGCAGCGCCATGCCCAGCTCCAGCACCGAGCCTTTGGCCTCGGCAGGTCGCTTCAGCAGCACGCCGAAGGTCGGGCCCTTGCTGCCGGCCTTCGGATGGCTCGACCGGCTTACGCGGCGCTCAACTTGAGGCAAAGGACCCGGATTTTTGGAACATTCACTCAGGTTTAAGGGAATTTTTTGGGGTTTCACCACCTGGAGTCTCCTTCTGATTCTTTAAACAGGCGTCCATGACCCCTTTCTTTTTGGGTAGTGAATCACCCCATCGTCGAAGGGTCAGAAGGAGACTCCAGGTAGACTCAAATTGGAAACTCACTGGGCGGCAAGCTAAACATGTTTGAAACAACTCAACAGGTCAGGTGCTTAGGCCGCGAAAAAAAATGAAGGGCAGCTTAAGGCCTTCGCCGACATGCCATGGTCGAAATCCCCTGCAGGTCCGCAGTCATGGTTCCCATAGCCATTGTCTAACCCCCTTTAAGAGATGGATGAGCATCCCTACCAACCCCAAGTAATCGCGCCCTTTGATGGCACAAGAAAGCCTGCAATATGTCGATTCTATACGGAAATACCAACAAACAATGGTTCCAACCATGGTTTCTTAGGTGCGACATGGAGTTCGTCCGTCCACATGACCAACTGCCCTTAAGGAACACACACTCCCAAACATATGACCTGACTGCCTCCCGGACCAGGTCTAAACATATCACCCACACGCAAAGCATTTTCATGGGGAACTAAAAAAGACCTATGGGAGATATGTTTGGTGATGCCTTTGGGGAGGGGTAGTAGGATTATGTACATGTCAAACGAGTCAAAATTTTCGGGTAACTTAACAAGTAAACCGTGGTTCGGATTGATGGTTTGGTGATTGGGGGGTGGGGTCCCATTTACCCCCTACAAGAACCAGGGGGTTCAAATCCACATTCAAATTTCACCAATCCAATCCGCTTACCTGGGCAAAAGTCGAGGAAGTTTAAAACAAAACTATGTAGACACCCTTAGGTTCCTCTCATGCTGCAACTCAGGGGACTCAGGCATATATGTGAGCTTTTGGAAAAGTAGATGGGTTTCGGAGCACTAAAACCCATCTAAACCAGTGGCTCGCCCATCTATTCCTAATCGGCCTAACCGAAAAACTCAAAAAACACCTATGAAGCTCAGAGTTGTGGTTGTCTAAGTTCGCCTCCCCTTTCTTTAGGGGGGCCAAAAAAGAGAGCGCTGCTCGGGTTTCAGCTGCGCCCCTCAGGTCAGCGCCCCGAAGACCAGGTCCCAAACACAAACGACAGCGACGACGTGCCTCCATTTGCGAATACGCCCCCAGTAAAAACTAAAGATATGTCCAGTACTAATGGATTCCCTTTAAAGCCAACAGGGGAAAATAAGAAAAATAGTCTTAAGCAAATGGAAGCGTATGTTGAAGGCTGAGTTACGTTTTATTCACCCGGAATGTTGGTTTGTTCTTAAATATTATCTAGGTCCTCCAGTAGAGAGGTTCGAATAAGGGTACCAACTTTTTGCTGTGGTTTATTTTAGTAGGGAAACCCTCCCAACCAAAAAGTTGCTGAGAAAGGGCACTTCTGGAGAACCTAGTGTGGCAGGGGTCTGGTGGTACAACCTTAGATATTGGCCCCAAACAACTGCCCTATGAGTCTCATGTTTCACCCTATTGGGATTGGGGCATGGGCCCTTTTTTGGGGGGGGCCCTTGACAACCATAGGAACTTGTTCTCTTGAAAATGGAGTGGCCAATCCCAATCCATAATCCCTGGAAAACCCCTACAAAGCGGGCCAAATCCTTTCGTAACCGACTGCAAAGGGGGCCAAATCCTTTCATAACCCAAGGTAAGCATCTTGCGGATCGCGTTGTCCTATTCGCTGGGACTGCCCTCAGATCTGCTAAAAGTGAACCACCTTGTGGGTGTAATACGGAAACTACCACACCCAAAAAGCCTTAGCAGCTAAGGAACCCAATGACAGGGAGCCACCCAATTTCGGCTTTTTCCAGCGACGCAGAGCCTCCGCCCACGACAAGTCGACTCGTCCGCGCCTGTGCCGTGGCCAAAGCTGCCAGCAGCGACGGTCCTTTGGACAGCGCGTCCTATCCGCAGACCCGTTTCGACCGAATCGTTTCGACCCGTTTCGGCCGAAACACGGAGCATTGAAAGCCGTGGCGGGAGTCAAAAAGCCTGTTTTGGGGTCCTTGAGGGTGGAAGGCCTTCGTACTGTGGACGGTTGGTCGAAATCCGGAAATCGCACCGCGAAATGACACCATGCAGTTGACACCAGAAGATTTCTTGGTGTTTACGTGGGGGAGTCGAATCATTCCAGGGGTTCTCAGGGGGTGCGAAATGGATTTCGTCCATCCACCATATTTTAGGGTCTTGGGGCTGGGGCTGGGGTCTGTTTCTAGGAACCCGCAAAAATGGCAGTTGTCCAAAGCCTTGTTATGTGGACAAGAGCTTGCAGGCTGGTGAACGGGTTTGGTAACCACTTGCCAACTCTTCAGTAAGGCTGCTGGCAGGTAAGAGTTCCATAGCAGGCAAGCCAACAACCAACTTGGTTGATCCTTGACCCATGAGAAATGCTACTAGTCAGGCGGCAGTGAACATATGTCAACCGGTAAAACAAAACAATGTCAACCACAGAGCAACCAAAAAAAAAAACAGCAAATGGCAACTTTATATTAACCCTCTACTTGCAATCCACCGCACGGTGAGATGACCCCCTGGAATGATTCGATTCCCCTGCAAATACCAACAAACCATGGTTTAAGCATGGCTTTGTTAGGTGGCGCGAAATCCAGCTGCTCCCTTCCCCCCCAAAACCCCCACCCATCGCGCATTCCCCCGGCACCCCTACCACCCTCCTACCCCCCCACTCACCCCAACCCCTCACACCCCCCTTTTCCCCTACCACCTGCCGCCACATACCAAAAATCACCCCAACCACCCCCAAACCCCCCAAAACCCAACCTACCCCCAACCACCCTCCAAAACCCCTACTCGCCCTACCCCCTTCGTTTCGAACGAACTCCTCCGGGTCGATGTCCACGGCCTGGCACCGCACACAGCGCCCCGCCGCCTCAAAGCCCACGGATCCCACCGACAGCGCCAGACCCTCCGGCCACCTGGCCTCCTCGAACAACTCGAGCGCGACGCGGCGAGAATTGGACCCCCCCTCACGACCTGAGGGCTTGGGGGACAAAACCCACGCGGGTTCATAGGTGGCCTTGTCGGAAAATAGATGGCCCTGGTAGATCAGGAATCGCCTAACCGAATCAACCCAAAAGGACACCTATGCGCCGGGCTTCTGGAGTTTAGGGGGAACACACGCGGAGAAATCCACACGGAAAAACCACACGGAACACGCAAAACACGCTTTTGGGGGGTTTGTTTTTGGGGTGGGGTCAAAGGTTTCGAGTGTTTCTGTTAGGGTTGTGGTTTTTTGAGGAGTTGAGGGGGAACAAACAGGGTGAGGGGTTTGGTGTTGGGTGGTTGAAGAAAAGAAGAAGAAAGAAGATCGGCGCTGAGGGATGTGTTTTTTGGGTGGGTTCAAAGGTGTTTGGGTGGGTGTTGGGGGTGGGGGTTGTTGGAGGGCGTTGTTTTCTCTTTTTTGTGTGTTGTTGTGGTTTGGGTGGAAATCTTTAAAACTAAACCATGAAATGCACTCGACGGGACCTCCAGGATGCAAGTCGGTGTTTCCTTTTGGAAGACCCTCCCAAACCTGAAAATGGTATCCTCACCAAGCACACACCCTGCTGGAAAACCAAGCCTAATCCATAGAGGAGCGCTTGACTGAAAAGGGTTATTCCTTCAGCCAAAGATCCGGACTGCCTTGGACAGACGGTACCTGGCCTGGTTGTTTTCTGATCCCCTGCTAAACGTCCACCTCTCAGCAACTCAAAACCTCAAGAACCGGATGGCTGGAACCAACGGCAAACAACCAAAAACCGACTAAGCCAACTAAACCAACCAAACCAACCAAACCACCAAGCACAAAAAAAACAACCAAAACCGACTAAAACCGACTAAACCAACCACAAAACACCACTAAACCGGCAAAAAAAAAAAAAAAAACAACAACAACAACAAACACCTCAAACTAAAAAAACAGAAGCAACCGCAGGCCCGGGCACCAAGCTCCGGGTCTTCGGAGGCTCCTCGTAGGGCTCCTGAAAATCCACCTCCAAGTTGGCGCGGAAGCGGTCCGAGGGAACCGCCAGCCCGCAGACGCGCCCAAAGTCCCGCAGGGAGGCAGTGGACCTCACAAGCCGGTTTAATACGGAAAGCCCCAAATTCGTTGGCACAAAGTGATTCAGTCCTAACATCCCTTGGCAAAATGCACCAAAGATTAGGTTGTTGCCGCCCAACAAAAAATGGCATTGGGTTTTGACAACCATTGGGATCCCAAAAATGGGGTTTGCGGTGCACCACCAAGGCTTCTTGCCCAGGCGCACCAAGAGTAGCGTCGCCTCCGCATTCGCGAAGTCCCGCTTTCTCGCGTCGCCTGCGGGCGGCGCCTCCCCGGTGCCGGCGCTGCTGGAGGAACCGCAGGCGGAGGCGGCGGTGAGGCGAAGCCCGCGGAGGTCGAGGAGCTCCTGGGGCGATTTGGGAAGAAGACCCCCAAAAAGAAGGTCCAATGAGTTTGTGCGTTTTTTTGGGGGGGTTCAGGGTTTTGGGGTTCGAATGATCTAATTTGTTCATTGATTTGTGGTGGAGGGCTTGGGGGTTTGGGGGGTTGGCTGTTCTGAGAATCAAGAAGTGAAGACACAAAACCGCCTTGCTGTGAATGTCTGTTGTTTGTCTGGGAACCGCCTGGCTTGTGGACCCTTTTTCCAGTTTCTTTGGATTACACCAGCTCCGTGAATCAAGCACCTTCAACCCCAAACCAAGGATTCTTAAAAGCTAGACTCATTTTGACCCAGTGGCCCTAGCAATACCGCGCTGCTCACAGGTCGTCATGGTTTGTGGTTCATGGTCCCAAAAGAGGCCAGCGCACCTCCCCCAACTCTCACCTTGGTTGCCAAATTGGAAGGAGTGTCTCCTCTTCTCAACGGACAATTCCGCCCTTGCAAAAAACAAACAAAACGGGAGGTACCTTTCTTTCTCCTCGAGCTGGTGGTTCATTCCAAGACAATAACCATCCGACACAGAAGATGTGAGATGTTGTGCGGTGGAATGAAGTCTTCTTTGGCGGAATTACGGACTCTACTGCCATCACACAAACACACTGGGATGATGGTCTGATGCCAAAAGGCCGAAATAGCAACACCTGTCAAATTCCATGGAAATGAGTCATGACCCCTAAATGATGGGGTGAATTCCCAACTTGTTTATGGCTAGTTTTAGAACAGGAAAAAAGACGACGACAAACAAAGGACCTGCGTTGAGCCACTTTCGCGAAAGCAGGCGCGAGAGCCAGCTCTCCTCAAACCACGCGCTGGGTTCCTTACCCTCCGGCACCTTCACCGCGTCTTCTTGTGGGAAGTCGGTGGGGTCAAGGCAGGACTGGAGCACCTGGGAGTCCTGCAAGGAAAATTCCTGGCCAAGTAGGGTAACCCCAAAATGGCTTGCCCTGGTAAACAGAAAAACAGACACCTGGACCAAAACCTGCGGTCCATATCTTCGCGGCTTAAATTTTGACCCATACGCAAATGAATTCGTGGCATCTCCTCGCTCATCCCGGAACCATGTAGCTGGATTTGTTAACCACTTGCCACCCTTGAAACACCAGGAGAATAGCCCTCTGCGCATACTTCCGGGCTTTCATTTGTGACGTTCTTGCATGGACCTGAACACTACCCCCAAAATGGCGCTCTCCTTTCGGTCTGAAAGAAGCTGTTGCAAATTGCCGGAACTGAGTTGGTGATTGGAAACCTCCATTTAAGGAAATCCGTTTGCTCGTTGGTAAGCGGGTAAATGGTCCTCCATTTCCTGCTTGTTTGCGATCCGTCCCTTAAACCCAGCCAGTGCAAATGTTTCAGTCTACACGTACAGCGTTCTGATATGGCTGTGGCTCAAAATACCGGTACCCAAATGGAACCCTGGTAAATGGAAACATGGACCAAAACCTGCGTAACCCCAGCTGTTTAATTTTGAGCCACAGCCATATGCTTTGACAAACCCTCACTAAAAATCGCCCTTGGCCCTCCTCGAGCGTTAATGCCAGCTCCAAAGTCTCCGGATGAAACTTGGTGGACAGCACCAACACGAAGAGCCCGTGTCCTAGGCTGGGGCCCCTTTCAAAAAAAAAAACGCCAGAAAGGTACCAGCTGGGTGATGACTGTGCGGGGGATTCAGAAGCCCTACCAACAGGGTGGTGTCACCACGAAGGACACCACAACCAAGTACTTATTTTTTTTCATCACTCTCTGCTTGTTATCCGGGATCCCCATTAGTTCAGGGGCCCCAGCCGGAAGAAAGGACTCTCTTCGATAAAGGGCCCTCCCGCCCCCCAGAACAAACCTGGGGTTTGATCAGGGTTGCCACATTGGTTGCGGCTTCTATCTCCATCACTTGCGCTGATCGGCCAGGCAACGCCGCTCATGATCGCTGACTATAGGGTTGGCGCACGGGCCACGGATTAGGACACCCGTCAAAAAGAAGGGTACCTTTCAGCAAGTTATGCACCATCCCTCCCAATAGCATTTGTGAGAGGATATTTTGTCCGGTGCCATGTGAGTCACGATCAAAACCCGGTATTTAAAATGGTTCACCCAGAACCATGCTTCAAGAATCAAGAAGGCGGATATCCGCGGCTATTTCTGGTTGGGATTGTCCCTTACCTTCATCGGTCCCCAGGTTTTGAGGGCGTGGCTCATGTCGGGAGAGAGGGTGGGATGATGGTCGCCAACTTCCCCCCCAAAGAAGCCGCAGCCGGAGAGGCGCTCCGACGCAGGGCCATCTTCACAGTGGTGAGGCGTGGCGCCTGCTTGGCGCTCACCGGCCTGGCGCTCACCGGAGCTGTTTGAGCGAAATTTCTGCGGGGTCTTGGCTACGGAGAAAGTGATCATTGGGCCGTGATCATGCTTGGCCGTATATCAACCTGTACAAAAAATCATGTATATATATATATGTATATGTATATGTTATGTGAGTAAACAATACATATATATATATAGTTATATGCATCTGTATATATATACATATATGAAGATTGTCAGGATTGTATTATGGATCTCTCTCTCTCTCTCTCTCTCTGTGCGTAGGATTGGTTGCTGTGTTTTTCACTAAGAGTAGAATGACTCCTGACTCCTGGTGCCTTGTCAGCCTGCCCTGCTTTCTGTCCTCTCCGAATCAACCATCAGCTCTTGTCCCGCGCTCTAACCTTCCCCCCCCCCAATTTGGTGGAACATACACTCTTCAAAGGTTCCTCTGAAACAAATATCTTTCTGATGTCGAGTGCTGTCGCGAGAGACCGCGCGTAAGGAGCGGAAAACCAGGGACATTTGTGGAGCGGAAAAGTGCACACGCAGTGCGCGGAAAAGAACGCGCGATCCGCGCGGAAAAGCAATCCGACTATTTTCCCTTTGCTGGGCCCGCGTCAACACCCGCGACAGGGCATGGCAGCATCACTTGCGCGAGTGGTCTAAGGGGGTAAGCTTCAGTACTGCTGGCACAAGCCGTGACGGCTCAAATCCCGGAGGCGTTAATCCCGAGCAGGTTGTTTGCTCCGTGTTTAAACGGCGGGCGATGCTGGAAACAGGTTGCAGTATCAATGAATTGGTCAGTAGGACATGTTCAGTACAACCGGCAGGAGCCACACAGCTCAATCCATTTGTGGTGAGACAACACGATTGTCTGGACAAACAAGCTTGGCGACAGAATTTGACGGAATTCTCATGAAAGTCTTCCCATAATCTTCCCGAAGTCTTCCGGTAGTCTGCGGTAGTCTTCCCGAAGTCTCCCGTAGTCTTCCGGTAGTCTGCCCATCAGTCTCCCGTAGTCTGCCGGTAGTCTTCCCGACCGCAGCCTTCGTGAAACGGACGCGGTTTCGGACGTACTTAGCGGGTTAATAGCCTCAAAACCACGTCCGTTTCCGGTAGTCTTCCAAAAGTCTCGTCTTCCCATAGTCTTGCGGTGGTCTTCCGGTAGTCTGCGGTAATCTTCCCGAAGTCTCCCGTAGTCTTCCGGCAGTCTTCCGGTGGTCTTCCGGGAGTCTGCCGATAGTCTTCCAAAAGTCTCCCGAGTCTGCCGGCAGTCTTCCCGACCGCAGCCTTCGTGAAACGCGGTTTCGGACGTACTTAGCGGGTTAATAACCTCAAAACCACGTCCGTTTCCGGTAGTCTTCCAAAAGTCTCGTCTTCCCATAGTCTTGCGGTGGTCTTCCGGTAGTCTGCGGTAGTCTTCCCGAAGTCTCCCGTACTTGAACGGGCAGGGTACTTAGTAAGTGGTTAGTAAGCCAGGTTATAACCCACATAGGAGACTTATAACCATGGCAAGTGGGTTATACCTGACTTACTAACCACTTACTAATGCCCCTTTAAGTAGTCTTCCGGTAGTCTTCCGGTGGTCTTCCGATAGTCTTCCATAAGTCTCGTCTTCCAGTCTTGCGGTGGTCTTCCGGTATACTCTGCCCGTCAGTCTCCCGTAGTCTGCCGGTAGCCTTCCCGACCGCAGCCTTCGTGAAACGGACGCGGTTTCGGACGTACTTAGCGGGTTAATAGCCTCAAAACCACGTCCGTTTCCGGTAGTCTTCCAAAAGTCTCGTCTTCCCATAGTCTTGCGGTGGTCTTCCGGTAGTCTTCCCGAAGTCTCCCGTAGTCTTCCGGTAGTCTTCCGGTGGTCTTCCGGGAGTCTGCCGATAGTCTTCCATAAGTCTCGTCTTCCAGTCTTGCGGTGGTCTTCCGGTATACTCTGCCCGTCAGTCTCCCGTAGTCTGCCGGTAGCCTTCCCGACCGCAGCCTTCGTGAAACGGACGCGGTTTCGGACGTACTTAGCGGGTTAATAGCCTCAAAACCACGTCCGTTTCCGGTAGTCTTCCAAAAGTCTCGTCTTCCCATAGTCTTGCGGTGGTCTTCCGGTAGTCTGCGGTAGTCTTCCCGAAGTCTCCCGTAGTCTTCCGGTAGTCTTCCGGTAGTCTGCCGATAGTCTTCCAAAAGTCTCGTCTTCCCGTAGTCTTGCGGTGGTCTTCCGGTAGTCTGCCCGTCAGTCTCCCGTAGTCTGCCGGTAGCCTTCCCGACCGCAGCCTTCGTGAAACGGACGCGGTTTCGGACGTACTTAGCGGGTTAATAGCCTCAAAACCACGTCCGTTTCCGGTAGTCTTCCAAAGTCTCGTCTTCCCATAGTCTTGCGGTGGTCTTCCGGTAGTCTGCGGTAGTCTTCCCGAAGTCTCCCGTAGTCTTCCGGTAGTCTTCCGGTCTTCCGGTGGTCTTCCGGTAGTCTGCCGATAGTCTTCCAAAAGTCTCGTCTTCCCGTAGTCTTGCGGTGGTCTTCCGGTAGTCTGCCCGTCAGTCTCCCGTAGTCTGCCAGTAGCCTTCCCGACCGCAGCCTTCGTGAAACGGACGCGGTTTCGGACGTACTTAGCGGGTTAATATAGCCTCAAAACCACGTCCGTTTCCGGTAGTCTTCCAACAGTCTCGTCTTCCCATAGTCTTGCGGTGGTCTTCCGGTAGTCTGCAGTAGTCTTCCCGAAGTCTCCCGTAGTCTTCCGGTAGTCTTCCGGTGGTCTTCCGGTGGTCTTCCGGGAGTCTGCCGATAGTCTTCCAAAAGTCTCGTCTTCCAGTCTTGCGGTGGTCTTCCGGTAGTCTGCCCGGTAGTCTGCCCGTCCTTCCCGTCAGTCTCCCGTAGTCTGCCGGTAGTCTTCCGGTGGTCTTCCGGTAGTCTGCCGATAGTCTTCCAAAAGTCTCGTCTTCCCGTAGTCTTGCGGTGGTCTTCCGGTAGTCTTCCGGTAGTCTTCCCGGCAGTCTTCCCGAAGTCTCCCGTAGTCTTCCTGCTAGTCTTCCCTCCAAAAAACAAAAAGGGGCACCCGTTTCGGATCTCTTAATTTCCGCATAGTACGAACATTCTTTATGCTCATTGTGAATTCCTTTCTGCTCAAAACGTGTTTTTTTCTGTTCATACAACAACCCTGGCTGTCGCGAACATATTTTTAAAAACAAACACCTCAAAGAATCATGTCCTTCGGTGACCCTTTTGAAGCGGTGCCCAAAGCGCAGGCACAGTACCCACAGACTCACCCCTCGGACCCTTGTCCCAGATTTTGACTTGGACTCGCTCGATACGGGCTTGTCTGAAAATATAAAGAATGGATCCCCGTTGCACAGAATCTTTTGGACCCCTGATATGAAATGGATTCTCATGGCTCATATCAGCCTGCTTTTTGTTGCCTCCCGCTTTGGGTTCAACGCTTTAAAAAGGAAAGGCGGACACTCGTTTTGACGATTCACCAATAAGTAGTAAATGGGTGTTGTGTAGACCTGCCATTGGAGAGTACCCGTTTTGGGCTGGTTTGAAGGGAACCAAACTGAACCAACAGGAAAGGGACACCAACCTCTCTTTTTTATGGGGGGGGAGGCCTTGCAAATTGAGACACCCAAAACCGGCTTGTGTTCAGCCAAGTCGAGGCAGCCGCAAGTCCTTTTGAGCGGGCGGTCTGCATTGATGGAATCCCAGTCACCCTGGTTGCTTAAATCAAGACCGGTTGAAACAAGTTCAAACTAATCTAGGGGTTGATTCCCCATTCTTTTCATCCATCGTTCTTTTCAAGAACCAGCCGCTTTTCCTGGGTGCTTGGAGGTTTTTCAGAAAGAAGGATTTGTGGAAAGAATGAAAATGGAAGGTACCTGGTTAACCTGGTGGTTTGAAACCTGCATTTGGGTGTGTCAGTGTTTGAGGGGGTGCTCTTTCTTTTGGTGGCGTTCAAGCACAACTACTTAAGAAACACCACCAGATGTGTTTTATGGTTTTTTCTTTGCTTCATGTTGTGTGTTGCTTTTTTTGGGGGGGGGGGTCCGAATCCTTAAACAAAGACACGCCCGTTTTTGTTTTTGTTTCCGCCCATGTTCGTTGGTTTGCATGGGCTGCTGACTAACCATCGGCTTCCTCGGTGGCAGGCGAAAGCCGATCCGCCGATCCGAGGGGGGGGCCGATCTTCCGGCCAGGAGCTTCAATAGGGGAAACACCAGGCTGTGGGTCCAAAACAAGTGCAACCAAGGCCTAAAACCTTGCGTCCATACCCAAGTTAGTGCGAGAAACCTTGGGCCTAAAACCTGCCGTTTAATTTTCAAAATCGCATACCCCAAAAATAAATGGAACCAAGGCCTAACAACTGCCGATTTTTCTGGAGGATTAATTTTGACCCATACCCAAGTGGCTGGTGGACACAAATCCCGAGCTAGTGTTGACCCCAGACTGTGGATGCACAAAATCCTGCACCCAAGACACCATGGGAAACCATTGCTTGTTGGTAGTTACAGGGGAGCAGGATTTCGTCCATCCACAGTATTCATCAAACCAGTTTATTAATCGGGGGTGGGGGCCGCTCCAAAAGTGATGATTCCCCACTAAACCCAGGGACACCCCTCTGGGGTTGATTCACATGGGGTCAACATTACATGATGTCCACCAACGAGTCCCACTGACAATTGGTTTGAACATTTCCCAAGGGGCAACCACCAGCCCTGTGGACCAACTCCATTTCGAACCAGGGATGGATGCAGCCCGAACGGGGCAACTGGTGCAGATTTGTTGTCCATCCACAATCAAAACTTGGTACAAAAATGGTCGATCCAGAACCCTGCAAAGACCTAAGGAGGCGGATGTCCGCAGCTACTCATGGCTGGGATCGTCCCTTACTCACCTTCACTCAACCGGCTTTTGAGGACGTGGCTCATTTGGGCTTGCTGTTTTTTGTGTTTTTTTTTTTTTTTACGGGACCCACCAAAATCGGCGGTGCTCCTTTTTGGTCGCCCGTCCAAGCCCAAAAACCGGGCACACTTTACAGAAGGACACGTCCGCTTTGCCCCCGCTTCAGCGCTTCGCCCCCCGCTTCAGCGAACTTCCGCCCGCCGCTCCGCCTGCTCCGCTTCTCCAGCACGAGGCACCACCGGCGGTCCAGGAAGAAGCCCCCGCCCTCCAGCGGCCAGCGGCGCACACAGAGCGGGCCGCAGCCTTTTACCGGGTAGACCTGCCACTCGACCGACGCCAAAGGAACCAGTGGGTTTGTTTCCCTGTCCCAGTGAGTCCGGTGACGGGTTTTGGGGTTTTGGGGGTTTGGGGTTTTGGCGTTTTGGAGGGGTTGGAGTTTTGGGAGTCTTGGGGTTTTGGGGTTGTGGGGTCTCCAAATAGAACCAGGCCCCAAACCAGTGGTGGTAGGCCAACAAAAAGCACCCTTCAAAAGCCAAAAGGAGAAATGATTGGTGGCCTATGATACTGTGGACGGTTACGAAATCCATTTCGCACCACCGCGGCCAGAGGGGAACCTAAGCGCTCGGCTTTTGGGGAGCTTTTGGGATTCTGGCGCACTTCTTGGTGAAGCCAAGAAACCGCAACCCCGAAATGGACTTTCATGGAGGGGTCTCTCCCGAATGCCGGGTGCTTGTGACACGTAAGTGCTGGGTTGACCAGCCAGAAGTGACTGGACTTGAGCCTTGAACTCCTAAACAGACCTGAACATTGCCTTGTGAATGGTGGTTTCCCTTGATTTTGGTGGAAAAAGCCATGTTTCAAATGGGCAAAATGTATCTTTAAGGAGCCCTGCTAAAGAAACCAAACAGGTTCACAGGGTGGCCCCAGCCCCGAGCAAAAGGTTTTGTGCTTCTTTCGCTTGCTGCTGGGCTGTTTGGTGGGAATCATAACCATCTCCACCAAAAAGCTGAAGTCCAAAGATCCAGCAACCAAATGATGGCCTCTTTTCTTTGCTACAGGCTTTGTCGAGCACCTTTTGAGGTAGCCAGGTTTATGCGTGCAAAGGAGTCACCTGGCGGTCCAACTTTCCAAAAAGTTAAAGTCTAAAGATCCAACCCAATAGCAGTCAAGATCGTGGCCTGGTAATTGATTCGAACCAACCCTAGTGCCCTCTCTCTATGCTTAGACGACCACAAAAACACACCTATGGTGTTCAGCTCCTTCTGAAACGACGGCCAAAAATCGGCTGTCTGGGGGTCGAGAGTGAAATCACAGGCGGACGGCAGAATGCACGTGTTTGCGTGGTGACCTCTTGAAGTTGCGTAAAAGGGAACCAAAGAAGAAGTAAGAAATGCGTCAAACTCACTCCTCAGATGGATCTCGAAGAGGGGGTCCGCCAAAAGATTATCAAAATAGCGAGCGAACTAGAGTTCCGTGGTACTGGAAGTTCTTCCATAACCTTCTGCAGTTGCATTTATTGCCATTCTACATTGTAATTCCTAAGTCGCTGAGTGAACCTACTGTGGATGAACGTTTTCCTGCACCACTTCGCAAGCGTGGGAAACCCTTGTTTCCTGGTATTTACAGGCGGGGAATCATCATTCCAGGGTGTCTGAACGGTGCGAGATGGATTTCGCAGCCGTCCACAGTATTGCCTTTGTGCGGGTCTCCGGTCTTCACGCCGTCGGTTGCGATCTTGTATGCTTGCTGATTGCTTCTTGCTATGGGACCCAGCCCCAACAAAAAATGGCAACATCGGCTCGCTGGTGGCACTCATGCCTTCATGTTTTCAAGACATCTCCTTGTGGGGCAACCCCTCCTTTTTGGGTTCCAGCTTTGTCCGCCGTAGGCTGGCGCAAAGCTCCTTTTCTCCTTTTCAGCGTGTCTAGAGTCAGTGGCATAGCCCCAGAAAAAGGCGCCGCCCTCGAAAGGCGGGTCTATGACCATCAGCCCCCATTGACCCAGCCTTCAGCGAACACAAGTGGCCCAGCACCGGGCTGCTAGGCAGGCCTCAGCGAACTTGTGCAGGAATAATTTGCCTTGAGGTCTTGACAAGGCCTTCTTTGGCCCATGATACGGGTCCTTCCGACCTTGCTAGATGCTTCAGGGCTCGGAAGTCTGAAAGCAGGTGTCTTCCTCACGCTGCTGATTCCCAGATGTCGCCATTGGTCCCCTCTAATGTTAACCCCGGATTGAGAAACCCCTGGTTGATTTTGATCGGGGGGTGTCCAATTCCTTTTTGTGGTTGGATTGACCACTTTTGGACGGGGGTTTTCACCCCCCAACAAAAGGGACGGGTTCACCTTAGATCCTGGGTCAACATTACAGCGTTTCCAGGCGTCCATGGCCGCCTGGCAGCAAGCTGCAAATTATGGATCCTAGCCTGCAAAGGGGGATCCTTCTGCCACCAGGAAGCGAAAACGCAGCAATCGCACCACGAAATGAAACCATCCAGTTGAAGCCATTGCTTGTTGGTGCAGGGGAATCGAATCATTCCAGGGTGTCTGAGGTGGTACAGATCAGTCGTTTACCCCACGGATTTTTGGGGAATCATATCCTTCCGTTGCTGAAAGGTCCTGCATCATGAAAGTCCATGCACAGTCGCCCGGGGAAACCGGAAACCGGGCTCGCCCCCGGGCGAGCCAACTCTTGAAGGTGGTTAAATCGCCGACAGAAGATCCGTAGCTGCTTCAACCCTTCTAGGTCCTCCAGATTTGAGAGGTTAGAATAAGGCTACCCCATTTTTCGGTATTTTGGTCTGGGCTGTTCAAAATGGAGGGTTGGCCAATCCTAATCCATAATCCCTATAGGGAAGCCGCCACAAAGGGGGCCCCTGACGTAACCCAAGGTAAGGATTAAGGATTACCTTTGAACACCCCAGTTAGTAGGGGAACCCTCCCCAAAAAAAAGGTGAGAAAGGGCACTACCGGGGGACCTAGCCTTCAACCTCCACATCTTCAGCCCAAGCCACACTCGGTCCTTGCTTCCCGGACGACCCCAGCCGCCTGGAGTCGCGTTTACTTTCGGGCGCAAGTGTGGCACGTGTTTCCCCTGAAAGGTGGAGTAAAACTTATTAATTGACCCTGGATGATCAGGTAGAGGCGTGTTTTCAGCAGGGTCCCTTTGATTGATCCGAAGTCAACATTACTCTGCGAATTCTACAACAATCCCAAACCCGGAAATAACTGGGTGAATTATACTATTTCACCAACTTGAAACAAGGTGGTTGGGAGCCTATTCCCCACACAAACCACCATTTGGGGTGAATCAGAAAATTCGGGATCCGCCAGCAAGGCCCTTCATCCATGGGCTCGTTTTACCTCACCTCGCGCGCCTCTTTCGCCTCTGGTGTCGCATCCACGAAGCATTCGTCCAGGAGCTTCAGCCAGGCGCCCACGTCCTTCCTCAAGAAAGCGAGGCTCAAGGCGCGACTCACGCCGTTTTCGCCGCGTGGGTTTTGCCTTGTTCTTCGGCACAGCGCGTGGATGTGCGAGTTACCATGGCTTCATGGGTAGATGGGGAGGTTTACTTGGAAACGCCAGGTGAGGGAGAGCTACCCGGTGGATACCCCTTCTGGCTAAACCCTACATGAGGAGAGACACTTGCTTGGCCACACTAAGGCGTGCGGTTCCGAAATCCCTGGGCGGAGAAAGAGATTTCAAGCCGAACTTCGACCCTGGAGCTGAGCGGCTTGAGTGTGTTTCATATGGGTCTGTCTTTCCAGAGCAGAAAACAACAGTAAAACCGAAGCCATTTTGGGGGTCCGAATCCTAAAGCAAGACACACCCGTATCTCTTGTTTGGGGTCTGGCCGTCTGTGGAACTCGCTACATCCGGCTCCACTGTTGCTATGAAAATTCATTCACAGTTTTCTATGTTGAGACACACCCATTTATTCGGAAGGCCTGCCAGTGAAAATCACGGAACTGCGTGGCTTACTGATCCTAAAGTTAAACTTCGAGTTGGATATGTCATACCTCTACACTCTAAAAGTGTAACGCAACTGTCCTCGCAACCGTCACGATTCTTTTGCGTTTGCATGTGCACACGACTTAAAGCGAAATTTCTCAGCCCTTCGGCTAGCCTGGAAGCACCGCATAACACGGCCCCTGACCCGGGTTACCTACAGGAATCTTCTGGCTGGAGCCGCGGGAGGTGGAAAAAAAACAACCTCCCAAAAACCTCGGACGCCCCATGGCAAGTGAACCAACCACATCCAGGCCCACCAATTTTCTGGTGCTTCATCATTTCCAGGGTACTTGCAATCGCATTCCGATGGCATCTCTTCAGTCCCAGGGCTGAAGCCTTGGATCAAGAAACAAAACAAACTCGAACGCAGCAAATGTCAATCAGATAGTACTAGTACGAGTACCGCGCATGAAAAGCACCCAAAGATTGACCTCGCAAAACGCGAGGGAAAAAGATAAAATAAAAAACACCGGGCTGGCCTCAGATCTGCTAAAAAGTGACTTGTGGGTAACTTGTGCGGAAACCCAACCTTTCACCAACTAAAAGCAGCTAAAAAGCTAATTTACAAGGGATGGATGTCAGAGCCACCAAGATAAATTTTGAAGCCACAGAACGGACTCGGGAGCATCCAAAAAACAAGGCGAAACCCAACCACTAAACAGCCGGATGGCTGGGAGCAACCAAGAAACCATTCAGCTTCCAAAGACGTTAAAAAACAACAAAACATCAAAAAGGCCGCCAAAACCCGGGTTTGGGGGCTGGGTTGAAGAGCTCTCAGCTCAGCTTCAAGGTGGAGAAGAGCCCAAAGGAGAGGCGCACCACCCCGGTGTGGCGCCCGTCCACCAGCCCCAGGTTATCTCCGCAGACCTCTGAAGGGAATGAAACATGTGGCTGTGGGTCAGAAATCGGTAAGCGGAAACATGGACCCGGAACCCTGGTAAGCGGAGACATGGACCAAAACCTGCGGTTCCCTGGTGGCTTCATTTTGACCCATAGCCATGCGGGTGGATAAATTCCATTGGGGCACCTGGACCCGTTTCAGGACCTTACCCATCAAAAATCGTGGAAAGCAACCCAATTCCACCATTTGGGGTTGCAATAACCAACTTAAGAACGGTTGGTCATTACCCAAGAAAGGGGTCATGGACCCATTTTTTAAGGTTCATGGAGACTCCAGGTGGATACATGGAATTGGGGGACCCCGTAGACCCCTGTTGACAGACTACTTTCCTCTTGGGATGCTTGCTTTGTCTTCTTCCAGGCAATCCCCAAGAAGGGGTGGTCCAACGGGGGCTTCCCAAAGGCTGTGTAAGGAAGCCGTTTCGGGAAGACAATGGAACCCGAAACAGCCGCTCAACCCACACCTTCCTGGCGCCTGAAGATACTTTGTTTTTGGGTGTTCAGCAAAAACATGACTCGGTTGCTTTCTGCTCCCCTGCTAAAAGTTTAACTTTTAGTGGTTTAATGGAAAACCCATGAGTTGGCAAAAAGTTAGAGTCCTAACATCCAAGCAAAATGCACCAAAAATGATTTTTTCGAAACATAATTTCTCAGCACGGCCACAATTCTCCAAGGCTCGGCCTTACTTGTTCAAGGCAGTGATTCTTCCGTTTTTGGCGGCGGATCTTCACACTTTGAAAGCTGGCTCCGAACAACACGCTCAGGTCACTATGTCCCAACCAGCACGACGAGCATGTCTGTTGGTGCATATTGGTCCCTGAGTCGATGCCGGGGGGTAAAAACATAAACCCTTTTTGCGTTCGCCGCGATTCTGCAACCTTGCTGGGGGTAACTGGCTTTTTCGAGCGACGGCCGTGATTCTCGAGGGGACAGTCATTTTTTTTGAGGGAACAGCCGTAATTTTTGGCGGGATGGTCGCATTTTTGCCATTGCGGCGCAAGGTTCAGCCGTAATGTTTCGAAGAACTCACGCAGCGTCATCTTCCGTAGTAGTTCGGCAAAACACACCAAAAAAGAAAGAAGAAAAAAACAAAACCCGTAGAACATCCGTAGAAAACCCGCAATTTTCGCAGGAACCCCGAAACCACCAGTCGAAGCATCTCATTTCGAAAAAGGAAAGTGCATATTTTTTGTGCCCGAGGCAGCCGTTCGGCTGGCAAGAGAGGCTTTGCCGTAAGGGGCACGTTTGGGCCTCGACCAACAGTGTTGGTAAACTTGCTTGGGCTCTCCGTCTCCGCCGCTGCGATTCTGGTTCTAAAAGCTTGTGTGCCATGCGTGAAGCACTAGGGGAAGCGTTTGTTCAGGCATTGACAGAAGTCTGCCATGAAGGCAAACGGCCAAAAAGAAATGCGTTCCTTCGGCCGATTTGTTTCACAACGGCCAACAAAACCAGTGGAGAAAAGGAAGCGGCCATTAAAAAAAAGAAAAAGCCTTTCGGGCTCCAGGTTGTCCCCCGCCGGATGGGATTCCGCTCACATACTGTGGGTGGAATCGAGATCCATTTCGCACCACTTAAGTATCTAGAGCCGCCATGACCCTTTTAAAATGGTTGGAGTCATTCCCCAACATATTTCCTGCACCACTTTGAAACCATGGAAAACAACTTCTTGATGGTATTTACAAAGGAATCATCATCCCAGGGTTTGTTAGGTGGTGCAAGATTTCGTCCATCCACAGTATTTCGGGGTGGACCCATGTTCTTTACGGGGTCAGAAAGAGACTCCAGGTACCGAGAACATGGGCTTCAATCCACGGCTCCGTTAGCCTCGGGGCACGGCACTTCCTGCGCCAAAGAGTCCTCGCTCGTGTTTACCAAGCCATGTGCGAATACGTTCCCTGGAAAATGAAAAACATGCCCAGGACTAGATGCCCTGGAAAACCCACGCGGAGAAAATGCAAATAATTCTGAATATAAAAAATGGAAGTGTACCAACCCAAAAAAGTGACTCATGCCCAGAGTTTGTGGTTGCATTTGAGTACTAGGCCCAGGTGACAGCTGGGTGTGTCTATTTTTTGGATTCGGACCCCCCAAACTGGGCTTCCCTGGGTTTCCTTTTTGAACCCACCCCCAAAAAGGGCACTCTCAAACAAACATAAAGAGCCCTGGTTACTGGTTTGATTTTGATGGCCTTTTTAATGAGGATTCAGACCACTTTCGGAAAAAACGACTCCCTAGTAATAGAACAGGCTTCTAGTAATCTGTTACGCAGGCCTTATCTTTGGTTCCATTTACCAAGGTGCCACTTACATGTTTGTGAGCCACAGCCACATGAGGACCCCTGAGTAGTGAAACGTGGGCACAAAACCCGAAAATTGTTTGGGTTCTTGGAGTTCAGTTCGGGGGAGACAAACCGAGCACCGACAAAGCGGGGGGGGGGGGGGTGCCTTGCCGGCGGCGTAGAAGTGTCGCACATCCGCGTCGCTGAGGTTGAGGTAGCGCTGGCAAGCCCCCGCGTTGCAGTGGCACCTTGCGCATGGCGCATGGATCTTCGAGAAAATGAAATCCCAAAAGAGAACAACCTTGAAATCCCATGGGTGTTCAATCCGTTCAAGAAATCCCAATCCCATCCGATGGCTTCAATCATATGTCTTGCAAGGATTAAGGATTGATCTGTTGAACCCAAGCGAATCAGAGGACAACCACTGAGAAACCCAAAGTAACCGGAATAGTATACCCTTGAAAAGTCCATGACTCCAACAAGAAGGGTGTGTTGACCATAGAAATCAATCTTTTGCATGGGCGTCTCACTCCTTTTTGAGGGTACCCCTTTTTGGGTGAGTTTTTACAGGAAAACCAAAAGGATAACCAGCAATTTTGGGAGGTCCCCTAAAACCAAGACACACTATGGGCGTCATGTTGAAGGGACCCTTTGGTGGACATCCTTTCAGTGGGGATTCACGTCCACCACCTTTGAGGTGGGTTGCTAGTAATCAAAGTTCAAAAACAGATTTGGCTGTGGGTCAAAACCAATGGTACCATTTTGGGGTAGGTGCACCACCCATTTTAGAACCTACTTTAGTGGGGATTGGGATGTTCACTGGGGGTACTGGATTTTGATTCAGGGCCATTTAGCAACCAGCACGTATTGCGACCCTATCCCAAGTCAAGTGCCCTAACTACGCATATCGCCGCCCAGTGACCCTACCCTCAGCAGGATGTTCCGCTTCTTGGCCTCCTCATGCACGAGGCCGTAGGGGATGGGCGAGCCGTCCTGAGCGTCTTGCATGTTTGCCTGTTTGCTTGCTCCCTTGCTTGCTTGTGTGTCTGCCTGCTTGGATGACTTTGAGGGAGCAAAGAAAAGAGCAACAACAGGTCAAGCATTCCTTGCTTGCGTCCGGGTGCTTGCTTTGATGAGTTTCAGGGAGCAAAGGAAACAAAGGAGCAAAAAGCTGGTTGGAATAAGGGTACCAACTTTTGTCTGTAGTCTATTTTCGTAGGGGAACCCTCCCAACCAAAGAAGAAACGGTGAGAAAGGGCACCTAGCTGGGGGACCTGGTTGCATCCGGGTGCTTGCTTGGAAGAGTTTGAGGGAGCAAAGGAAAAAAAGAAGCAACTTCAGGCCCGCCAAGCACAAAATGAACAGCTAAATCAGCTCCATTCGGTCCTCCAGTAGAGGTTAGAATACGGGTACCCTTTTTCCCGTAGCCTATTTTAGGGGAACCCTCCCCCAAAAAAGGTTGGTGAGAAAGGGCACCTAGCTGGGAAGGCCTGAAGCTTCAAGCGGAGGTTGAAACACGATTCGGTGGGTGCCTGGAGTTGAGACACACCCTCCTCTCAAAGCGATTTCCTGCATTTTTTTTGCCATTAACCCCCCACCCCAGCCATCATGATCATCATGCTGATTGGCATCTCCCCTAAACCAGCTATGAGCTTGCTGATCGCGTTCAGTGCGTGCCTGGCATGGGGGGACCTAGTCAAAGCGAGCTTATGGCGACGAGCAAAAGGCGACCACGACTGGACGAAAGCTGGGCATCCGCGTAGAACAGCACCAGCGCGAGTGTGGGGCCCTGCAGCTCCGACCACCTTAAGGGCAACGCGGGAGCTTACAAAAAGCAAACCGGGTCCAGCCCTCTGCCAGGTTACCCTACGGATGCACAACTGACAAAGAAACCCTCGAATTCACCGCTAATTACCACTGGTTTTGCGGCAGTATGCTTGGTTTACTTGCGATACTCCTCGGGAATCCACCGTATCTCCCCCCGAAAAACGACGAAACCAAAAAAAATAAAAGAAAAGAAGAGGACAAGGAAAGGGCCCGCTGGGCATGGGTCGAAATTAAAGCACCACTGTAGATCTTGATCCATGCTTCCATGGGTGCGAAACTGGGGGATACCAATTTTTTGTGACGGCTACCCGATTTGTGTGGCCAGACATATGTCCAAGGTTCACGCCTGTTTACCTAGAAACATGATGGACTCCCCCGTCTCGTTGCCTACATTTGGCCCACTTTGGTCCACGTTTTTTCGTGAAGCCCCCGATGCACATGTTTAATGGCTCGGTGGTTCCTAGTTCAAAGTGAAGAGTTCCAAAGGCCCCCGTTGGGGCATCAGAGTTCTTGGGTCCGAGTGCCTACACTCGAGACCCCTCATCCAAACAACACCAGAGGGACCTGGTTCAATGTTAGGAGTGTCCCCTCAAACCCATGACACATGATCTTACCAAAAAATGAGGTTGAGCCAATCGACTCAGAATGGACCAAATCTGGGAAACCAAAAGGTCGAAGGCTCGGCTTGGGGCAACTGAAGTTTTAGATGCAATTCCGGGGTCTCCCTTTTTTGGGGTTGGCTAACACCTCGATGCTTGGGCCAAGAATGACCAAAAATTGGGGCCCTATCCGTTGAAGCCACGCGGAAGGTCCCAAAAGGATGCTTCGACAGATGGGGTTGAAACATGTTACCAGTTGGCCCAGAGGTGTTTGTACGCCTTGCTTTAGGGCTTAAATTCCGGGTCTCTTGCAGCAACGACCTTCTTTTGGGCTTGATGTTACAAAAACCAACTGTTTATGCCGTATAGTTCTCCTTGTTTTGCCCCAGGGTGTGGTTTAACCCCGGGTCTCCGGTTGCAGCAACGACCTTTTTCGGGGCTTGATGTTACAAAAACCAACTGTTTATGCCGTAGTTCACCTTGTTTTGCCCCAGGGCCTGGTTTAACCCTGGGTCTCCGGTTACAACAACGACCTTTTGGGGCTTGATGCTACAAAAACCAACTGTTTATGCCGCAGTTCACCTTGTTTTGCCCCAGGGCTTGGCTTAACCCCGGGTCTCTGGTTGCAGCAACGACCTTTTTGGGGGTTTGATGTTACAAAAACCAACTGTTTAGCTGCAGTTCACCTTGTCTCGCCCCAGGGCGTGGCTTAACCCCGGGTCTCCGGTTGCAGCAACGACCTTTTTTCCCATGTTAAATACCTCCAGGTGCAGAACCGAAAAGTATCCAATGGGCTGGAGATTGAAAAAGGCAGTCCTGCAAAGGTGCTGGCTGGTGGATTTCCCAAAAAAACATGTGTCATCGTAAGAATAGAAGAACCCCACACACACACACAAACAAACAAACAGACACACACACACACACACACCCAACACGACTGGACTCACGGACCGGAAAGCGCAAGCGAAAAGAAAGCGCCCGCCTGGCTTCCTCGTGCGCTCCGAAGATCCGGCTCAGGCGCAGGCCGTTGCTGTGCCGCCGCATGCGCGTGCGCAGAAAGGCCTCCACCAAGAGGACTGAGGGGGCTTTGCTTGTAATACTGTGGATGGACAATATCCTGCACTTCTTGGAAACCATGATGAAATGATTGTCTGTTGGTATTTGCAGGGGAATCGACTCCTTCCCTGGTTTCTTAGGTGGTGCGAAATGGATTTCGTCCATCCGCAGTAGGGGACGGGATTCCACTTCCCAACTCGTCCCTGGCCCTCCTAAATCTGAGGCTTTCGGGGGCCGACTCAAAAACACACCAGCGCCCTCAACACACACACACACACACTGCTGCTTTTTGGAAATGCGGTTCGAAGACGGTCCCGGCACCTGGTAGATCTTGTCCATGTCTGAATGTCCAGGGTTGAGGGATTCAAGCCTCATGTTGTTCAATTTGTTGCTTCTTTTGTTTTTGTTTTTTGTTTTCTTAACTAACACACACTCACAGACTCTGAGCCCACTCGCTGTCCAACGACGGGGTTTCCTTGCCCCTTCAAGGCTAGAACCTCGAAAAGATGCGATCGTGGTGGAAACCGCCAGTTCACTGATCAACTTTTGGCTTGCCCATTTGCTTAAGTCCCCTGGAAAAAGAAAGAAAAGGAACACATTCCCAATGGTGAACTCGATTTCCATTGAAACCAACAAGGTCGGAGAATGAAGAACTCATTTCAACAAATGGAAGACTCAAATGGAAACCCCCACTACACCTAAAAAACAACTCAAACACCTAAGGAGCCCACAGCAAATGGCTGGTTGCACCACCAAGCCAACTCCTCCACTTGCCTCCATCCACACCAAGTCCCCCGGCTCGGCTTCGCGCGTCGGTCGCCGTGCACGTGCGCCGCCTCGCGGCACACCGCCTGCGCGTGAAGCTTCCGCCGCAGATCCGGCGCGAGGCGCCGGAGCGCCGCCAGCTGCCGCGGCAGCGCGGCGATGCCCTGCGCGGAGTCGACGTGCGGGGGTGGGGGGGTGGGGGGGTGGGGGGGTGGGGGGCTCGGGGAAGGAAAAAAAACGTTAATTAACCCCTGAAGAGTCCTACCGAAAAATAATTGGGTAACCGAACTCGAAGAAGTATTGGTCAACTCGAGCTTCCAACTTAAAAATGGGCTGCCCGCAAAAACATCATAGTGTGTGTGTGTGTGTGTGTGAATTCCAACTTGTTGTTTTGGTACATGACCTTTGGTGTCCTTTGGTAAATTTAAAGCAAGTGACCGGCAATCTGCAACTCCCGCGTTGTTGTTTTTGACCTCAGAAACAGAATTGCGGTTTTGGGCGAACACGAAGTAGCCCAGGGAATCAAAGAGGTACACGTGGTTCACGAAGTACCAAAAGAACCCAGTCCCAAAGCACAATGTAGAAGGTGCCGGTGACCAGATTGTGGGAGTGACAGTTAATGAAGATCAAGTTTGGGGAGATTAGGAAATAGGTTGAGGAAGAGAAGTTTGTGTCCAAGCCCAGGATGATCACGCAGAGAACCTCCGCCCACCTCCCAGTGCCTAACCACAGCGACGCCAGGACCCTTTTCCCGACGGCGTAGCGGTCAGCCGCACTATGGCTGGCGCAACGAGATTCCGTGACCCCCCTGACGGGAGGGCAAAACTTGAGCCAAACGGCCATTCGGCCGTTTTGCCACATGATGAAACAACACGTGAACAAAACACACCCCCCTCATCCGATATCTGGACGAGAGAAAGGATGCGAGACAGTTGAGTTCACGACGAAAGGGACCAACCAAAAATGCCGGTGTCAACTCAGAGGTGAGCCAAACGGCATCACCTGGGCCCCAGTTAAAATCCCGCCACCACCCCGAATTATCGGGGCGACAGGATTATTTGACGAGTGGACCACATGAGTGAACAAAGACATATTGGAGGAACCAGACGAAGATTCCTCTCGTGCCGTTCATGCGTTGTCATAGGACGACACCATGCGGAGGGGGACCCTATCTGGATCACCGCGCCTCACTGCACGCCGTGGAGTGGTTGGAAGAGTAGTCGAGTTGGGAGGAAATTAGAAACGGAAGTTCCGAAATTGGTGTGAAAATATCCGGCTACGGCCGGCCCGGCACTTCTAGTGCGGTCACAGCCTCACACAGGATCGCCAGGGGAACCGTCTCCGGCGCGCACGGCAGCGGTGCGGGAGGGACACGAGCAACGCCGGATCAGCGGTACAGGGCAATGGAGACCATCACCCCCAGCAGCGCCGCATAGGCGAGAGGAGGACCGGCGCGGTCGCGTTTTTCGGCGACACACGTACTATCCTCGCCCTTCTAAGGCGGATGCTGATTGCGGTACCCGCCTACCACCCTGAACCAGGTTCTTCCCGGTCCCTGGGCACGTCGTCTCTCCGGCGTCCACCACGGTCACCTCGATCACCTCCTCCATCCCGACGGCGATCCTCACCACCACCCCTATTGTGGTCACCAGCCGGAGGTCGGCGAGGCGGAGGGCCGGTCCCGGTGGCGATCGCGACGGTCATCACCCGGGTCATCACGTCCGCGGCGCTCATCTCGCCCCGGACCGCGCCTCTCGGAGGTCTCCTCATGACGTGGAGGAGGTCGGCGATCATCGCGTCGGCCTCCGCGGGTATCCCTGCCACGATCATCCCTTTGTCGGGGCGGGCCAGGATCCTCGCGTCCACCTTTGCCAGGTCGATGTTTTCCTCGACCCTTCCCCTCACCCTTAGGACCGCGACGATCCTCGCGGGCCCCAAGCGCGGTCCTCGACCGATCGTCATCTCGGCGGGGCCGCGACTCATTTGCCGCACGAGTGGTCCGAGGCACACCCGGGGGAAGCTCCCACTCGTCGTTGTCGTCATCGCGCGGGTCATAGCCGCCATGGCCGCCCAGGAACCGGTGGCACCCCGTGGTGGGGACGCAGGAGTTCCGGGACCGCCCGATCGAAGACGAACTCGGGGAGTCGCGTCCTCGCCGGTAAAAGGATCCTTCTGGGTGTAGAAACCCTTGGTCCTGCCCCTTCTCTCCCCACCTTCCACACCGCTTCTCGCGGGGACCGGGGATGGACGGGCAGGCTGGGCCATGCTCTTAGAGCTGGGTTGCCCGCTAGGCGGGACCTGAACGCCCCCCTGCCCTTTTTCGGGCGCGGGGACCCGACCACGAGATGTCCTCCTGGCCTTGGGTTGGTCGGACTCACCCTCCAGCTCGGACTCGGTGTCAGGGACACGAGTATTGATGGCCATGTCCTCTTCCTCAAACGGATCCCCAGTCGTTGTAACGCCTGCCGCAATGGGAGCGGGAGGAGGAGGAGGAGGAGTTGGCACAGCATCGCCAGAACTGACGCCTGCATGCGACACCACGGGAGTCTCCGGTTCTACCGGGACAGGCGGCGCAGGAGGAGCCGGGGGCGGTGGCGGAGGGGGAGGGATCTCCTCCTCGTCGTCGCCCATGGGCTCGTCAAGGTCGTCAGGCTTCTCGTCATCTTCGTGCGAAGAACCATCCGATCCCAGCTCATCCTCCGCTGATCCAGCAAAGTCGGGCTCGTCTTCGTCCTTCACGCCGGGGCCTGGTGTAAGGCGAATTCCGGGTCGATGGCGATCGCGGGGTCGGAAGCGGTATTTCCTTGGTACAGGGTCGGACAGCTCCTGTTTGATGTCATCCTGGGTTTGAGGACGGTCGGCCAAGCAGGTGTCGTAGGCAACGGTGGACGTCCGGTAGATCAGATCGTCCATACTGCTGAGGTCGTTGAGGGTGTAGACGTACCCCTTCTTAATGCCTTCCCGTATCGTGTCCATAGCCCGTTTGAGGCGCGCGGCAGGATCGAACCCGGCCTTTCTCCGCATGGCTTGCAATATCCCGCAGTGCTGTGCGAGCAGCCCCACCTGGAACTTGAACCCCTCCCCGGACACATCGTTGGGGAGTATCGGAGAAAGGTGTCCTGTTCTCAGCCCAATGATATGGGCCTCAAGAATGTAGTAGGACGTGTAAAAGCCGCACCGGTTGGCGTTGAAGTTTGCGGTGGTTAGGCGTCTGCCCCACTCAGCCGCGTATCCCTCATATTCTTCGAAGAATTCGGGGACGGAGCTCCCGTTGAAGGCAAGACCCCTTACCAAGATCGCCTTTGCTACCCACTCTTCCACGTTGTGGTCGACCGTGTCACGGTATTTGCCGTCAAGGACTTCGTCTCGGAGCGAGTCGTGAAGTTTTCGGAAAATGCCATCCACGTCCTCTTTGTCAAGGTACTTAGGAGGCCGCATCCCAGACATCAACAAGGACCGGGCATCGACGGCGGGACTCTGCGAGTAGAGGGCCATTCCGATGGCGTTGGCGTCTGCGTTGTTCCACAGAGCGGGGACGAAGCCCTCGTATTTTGCCAGCCAGGGAGGAATCACCCCGTCGGTGCTCGCTATCGTGCGAGGGCCGCCGTTCGTGTCTCCGGTGGGCAGGACGCCCTCATAGAAGATGGGAAGGTAGCAGGCGGTGCACAGGTGAGCGCCGACCGGGTGGGCCGTCATGCACCTATGGCATGGAACGGACACCACCTCGCGGATATGTTCCGTCTTGGTGATCTGATGATACTTCTCCATCTCGTCCCGACACTTCCTCGGGTTATCACTCACGGAGTTGAGGAAGTTGGGCGGATAGCACCAAGGCCTCAGGTAAATGATGGAGCAGTCCTCCTTGAAGTAGACGCATCTCCAGTACCCGATCGCGATGTTCTCGCGCGATGCAAAGGTACCCTGACGAGTAATATGCATGCCCCCATTTTCCATGGAGAAGAAACGTGCATCGATAGCCATGACCACATATCGGGGATCGCTCCTTTGGCGTCGACCCGAGGTGTGCAGCTCCGTCACATTGCTGTCGGTGATGCGGTCGACAGTGTCGTTGGGGCATTCTCCGTGATCGCGGAGGGATTGATATTCATCCGGCCGAGAGGGAAGGAGCTCGATCAGAGCTCGCCCACCCCGAATGATCGCCCCACGTTCTACGTAGAGCCGATACATTCGGAGAGGCACCACCTTGTAGAGTGTCTTGGGAACCACCTTGGAGGTGATAGGAAGACAAACAGGGCTCTCGTAGAGCATGTATTGGTATCGTTCACGAAATGCCCGGTAATCAGTGTCGGATCCGATCTCAAGCGACCTTACCGCCGCTATGCGGGCGGAACCAGGCAGCAACCGACGCTCCTTGTCACGAATGACGGTGATGATGATCTCGAACATTCCCACCCCATCTTCGAGAAAGGAAGACAGGAGGTACGAAGAAAAGGCATCCTCAGACTCGACGCTGGTCCCGAAGTAGTGGCTCAGGAACTTCTTCAGTTGTATCACCGAAGTAACGTTCCCTTGCCCGCTGGCAGACGAGGCCTCCAACTCTGGGTCCTTGACTGCACCTGCATTTCCAGGCTGCACAGCTGTTCCACGGAGCGCGTCGCGTATTTCCGCGCATGCTCTCCTGTAGTAGTGCGAAGAGGCGCCCGTCCTACCCTTCACCTTCTGACGGATCTCGTCGGCGAAGTAGTCCAGAAGCTCCTCGGGTGCGGGAACAATGGCCTGGATCATCAGGTCAGGATCACTCCTGGTCGGGAGGATAGGCCCTGCTCTGGACACTCCCATCTCCAGGAATCGGGCAATGTCCCCGATTTTGGCGCACAGAGTAGTGATCGTGTTTCCGATCCTGGGGGCGATATCCTCGCCTCTCCTGGCGCCGACCACGTTTTTCTTGATGGACTCCTCCTTCAGCCTCTCGAGGTTCCTCCGGGTGTCATCAGTGCCTTTCACCGCGCTGAGGCGGAGAACCGCAGGCTCCGGTTTGTCCGGTCGCACGAGCTGGCCGTCGGGAATCTGGTCGAAAATGCGCGAGGCGGACTTCACTGCTGGGACATTCCTGTACTGATCCGGCACGCTGTAAAAGGCGTAGGCGAGAGTGTCATGCGAGGATGTCTCCCAGTACGTGTACTCCTCGGAATCACGCGGGTCACCGACAACGCGACTCACGGTGCTCAGCTCGGCCAGAGCACGCTCCGCCTCGAACTGTGATCCGATGGTCGTGGGCAGCATGGCCCCTCTCCTCCTCCGTGCAGTCGACGTATATGAACTGACCGGTATGCAGATCTCTGGGCGCGGCGAAGGGCCCCGCAGTGTCATGAACGCCCAGCAGAGTGCTCCTCGCCTCGACCTGGCTAGGGAGCGCATCCGCAGGAGGATGGGCGGGCTCGGCAGGGGCGTCAGGGGCTTGAGTGGCAGGCGGAACAGGGTCGTCCTTCTTATGCTCAGAGGCCCCCGTGGCGGTTGTTCCCGCTGCCTCTCCTCCAGCCACCACCGGTTTGTCCCGGGGCTCATTCATGTCAACGTCCTCACCGGCATCGCGAGCTTCTTTCTCCGCCTTCTCCTTGGCCTCCTTGATCTCGCGTGCAGTAGGACGTCGATAAGCCGGCCAGGGGATGCCCATGATTTTGTCACCACGGGTGAAGGCGGACTCATCTCTGCGAATGATAACTGCCCGATCTTCACGCGATCCAGACATGGCCAGAGGACCACACATGGACCGGAAGACCTGTGCGACCGATTGTGCCAGGCAGTCCGGGTACTCCCCTCTGAGCGCGGTGGTTCGCCATGTGTCAGGGATGTTCGGCTCCAGCTTGTTGCCACGATCGTCGACGCGATCGAGCTCACCAACGATCTGGTGAAATGGCAACGAACCAAGCCGGGTCTTGCGGTGAGCGGCGTGGAGGCAGTCATAGAATGTCCTAATCTTCTGCAACCCAGCCACAGCACCGGCCACGTGCGGGTGAACGTGCCCCATCCTCCAGGCGGTCGCCAAGGCCATATCAAGGCCGGCACGGACCGCGGAGAGCTGGGAGTTAAGGTCATAGGCGTTCATGTACTCTGCCGTCCAAAAGACGTCATCCATGGGAATGACCTCGCCGTTCCTGGAATCGACCATTCCGAGTCGGGTCCCGTCGTGCACCATTGCATCGCACCGTGTCCTGTTCGGATACGAGTTGGAATTCCCAAGCGGCTGCTTGGCTTTTCCGAAGATGCCGGTGTGGTGGTCGCCGGATTCGCCCTTTCGGGTCACGAACTTGGAGTCGATCTGATCACGAATCTCCGGCGGGTACTCAGGGGGAACGATCGTTTCCATGACCTTTGTCCATTCGTCAGCCTCGGTTCTATCCGTGGCCTCCTTCCCGAAGTGGACATACTGGAGCTGCCTGGGGCCATGCACAGTGCATTTGTCTGCATATGCGTGGGCCCAGTCAACCAGCGTGGCGCGTTTGGCCATTTCACGTTGCCCATGGCGATCATTGGGGATGGCAGCGTTCAGCGTCCTCGATTGATCACCCTCTCTTTAGTCACCTGGTCCGAGTTCCTCGCCTTGTTTGCGTAGCTGGCCACGATCGGCTCGAAATTTTTCTCTCGAGCAGCGATGTGGTGAAGTACGAACCTGTCGGGCCGGGTGAACGCCTCGTCGAGGGAAATCGACCCTCTCTTCGGCTCCGTGTCGTCTCCATAGTAGTTGGGATTCCGCTCATCGGGTTCCTCAAGTCCGCCGTGCACCGGATCCTTTGACTCCGTGGCGCTAGCTCGGACGACCCTGTGTCGGGACGATCTCCGCTGAGCTTTCCATGCCTCAAGCGTCTGAAAGGTCTCCTGCGAGTCGGGATCATAATACTCGCCATCGGGGGTGATGGTGTATCCCTCAACGGAGACCCCCGCGTCCCCGGTGGAGGTGCGGGCATCGGGGTCCACCTCATCGAACTCCGAGAGATCCTCCTTTGTCGGAGGTCCTCCCGATCCAGTGCTCCCCCCTACCTCCATTGAAGCAGCAGTGTGGGGATCGACGCCTGGTACGTCATCAGTCGTTTGATCAAGGGTCTTCATGAGGTCTTCGAAGCTCTCCACATCATTGCCTCTGATACCGACCGGTTTGGTCACCGGCGCTGCGGGCGGCCCACCTTCAGGGGTAGGAGTCGGGACAGTGGTGGGGGCGGCCGGTTCTACCGGCGTGCCACGCCAGTATGCTATCTCGGCGTCAACATCCATGTCGTCATCCTTCTCCTCGACGGTCGGGAGCGTGGGGACGCCCTTCCTTTCACTTCCCGCTGGCTTCTTCAGCTCCTCAGCCTTCTTTTTGGCCGCCGCCGCGGCCTTGCGAGATGCCTCAGGCGTCGCGAGGCGCGGGAAGTTGCTCTCGTCCTTCGGCGGAGTCAGCACAGACTTGGGCAATGGCCCCCCCCATCGGGGGGCCTTTGGCGGGTCGGCAGGCTCGGGAACCGGTGAACTTCCCCCGGAAGTGCGGATGTTTGGCGCCCGAGCGGGAGGTGCACCCTTGGTAGCCGTAGAGCCGGGATCCGGCGACTTAGCTGGCGTGCCGCCCTTTGCGGGCACGGAAGGGACAGGGGCCTTGGGGACACTCCTAATGTCGATGGGCCCCTTCGCCTTGGCGGGCGAGGCTTTCGGTGGCGAGACGGGGCGCGTCGGTGGCGACATCATCTTCGGCGTAGGGCCTTTGGGCTCGGCCTGGCGGGCAGGAGCCTTCGCCACAGAGGGAGCCGCCGCCTGTGCGGGGGGCGTCACCTTAGATGCCGCATCAGTCATCTCTACGTCATGCGATTGACCAGAGCTTTCTGCCCCGGCGACCTTCGCTGGCGGGGCGGTGGAGTAGGTTAACGAATCATCCCAGACCTTGGTCTGGAGAATCTTTTCGGCCTTCACCTTCGCGTCCTCGTCGGGAGGATACATGGTCTTCTTGTACAACATGCCCAACGTTTTCGCAGCATTGGTCGCAC